CTGTTATTCCCTAATGGATCATGTCAACTCTTTTCCATATTAATTAATTTCACTTCTGCCCTTTTCCACTAGACATGCCGAAGGCTGCATGAATGAACAAAGGGTCAATTATGATGATGGTAGACTTTTTATGCCTCCTTCCTCACTGATCCCTCTTGTCTTGCTATATTTCCCTTAGTGGATTTTTTTCTATTCTTCTGTTTCCCTCCTGATTTCTAACCGGAACGTCCTTCCCGGAACATGGTTTCACTTAACATATTTAATTTTCCATTTTCTCCTCTGCAGATCTTCCAAACGCTAGCCCCAGTGGACGGTCGCATCTCAGGCGCTGTAGCCAAGGACCACATGCTCCAGTCGAAATTGCCAAATAATGTGTTGCGTAAGATTTGGACGTTATCAGATATAGACAAGGATGGGTACCTGGACCTTAACGAATTTGCTCTGGCGAACTACTTGGTCGATCTAAAGCTTAACGGCTGTGAGCTGCCCTCTGAGCTACCTGACCATCTTGTACCGCCCAGCTTCCGATTCAGGAACGAGTACAACATGCTTCTCAATGGACATGAATAAACTTTCTCCTTTTTGCCGCTGCCCTCGCGGTGCTCGGTTTCTTTTCACTCTTCCTCTATTCACAAATCATTTTATGCTATGGATGTCTTTCATTCCTCTCGATTTGCCTTTAGGCTCGTGCCTTTATCTCGGCTCTGCTTTTATGAGTCATTCCTTCAACTCTCCTGCATTCTTATACTATCTATCAAATTTTTTCACCTTGTCATTACTCATTTCTCTACTTATCCTTCATCCTATCCCACCGGCTTTCCTACACTACTCTTTTTATTCATGATCTATTCCCTTATGGTCTCTTATACCATCATCTTCATGTAGTTTTAGTTATTTTGCTTTCATTTTTTTCATTTATGCTTTGTATCATATCATAATCCGTCGACGATTTGTCTTATTTTGGATATATCTCAGATGTTCGTCAGCAAACATAAATTTAAATAACTTAGATGTCACGGATTGTTGATTTTCGTCAACAATCCAGTGAAGCCATTCTCTGCGTAACCTCATCAGCCATCCATCTTGTATCATTTTCCCTTTCTAAGTTGTTCTAGAATGGCTTCCCAGATTTTATATACATTTATATACATTGCTTGATGTGCGCTTACTTTAATCCAGAGTCCCATTGTTTAATGAGTTACTTGATACTGATCTCCCGCCTTCTAATGTGTACACTTTACTCCCAGAACCGTCTAACTTTATTTTTTCCCTGGTACAGGCTCAAGGCTAGCCAGTCATATAAGCCAGCCTCCAGTGATATCAGCCTGGTGGTCGGTTAAAGAACCATCCATCGCTTCCTACGTATCTTCTAGCCTATTTCGTCTGTATACAATCCCAAGTGAACGTGCAGTTATTATATTTATTAATTTTGGAACCCTAACATGGACCTAAATCGCTTACTTCGTTCTATATGTCGTAGCTCTGTGCTGTCCTCCTAAGATCTACTTCATTGCACTATAATAGGAATCTAGCTGTTATAGAATAGGAAGCATCTCTCTCTGCCTTTCACTAAGGGCTGTTTTTGACAGCACAGCTGGCGAATTCATTTCAATGGTGATTTATGGTGTCCAGAATACAGTTTTGCCAACACAGTGTCCAGCTCCAGATATCTCTGGCTTGGAGGAGATGGAGCC